AAATGTAGAATTTTGTAATATATTGGATAGTAATCAAATAGGTTGAAGTAGTTATAAGACACTATTTTGCATAAAGATGAAATTTTCACTATTTACATTATTTTCAAAAAATCATGCAATTAAATTCCAAAAATTGATTTTTTTCATTAGAATTATAAATCACATTATAACATTATTGTTTAATTTATGTGATTATTATTTTTTCTATGTTATAATGTGATTTCTTTAATAAAATAGAAAAAATAAACTAAATAAAAAAGTTAATTAAAAATTAAAAAATTTATATATATGTCAAAAAAATAAAATGTTATTTTTTATTAAAATAAGAATTTAAAAAGTCTTAACGTAATTGTTTGAATAAATTTTGATACTTAAAAAAAATCACAATATGAAATTTATTTATTTTATATTTAAAAAATTACTTCAAATATAATAAAAATATCATATTTATATGAATTTGTAAATAAATTTCTTAAAAAAATAATATATTCAAATTAAAGCTCAAGTGTGTGTATATATATATATATAATAGTAGTAATCCATGCCATTGGCCACAAAGAAGATCTTGAATCTATGCCAACTACCATTCACACACCCTTCACATGCCATTGTGTGAATTTCTTTTGTTGTACCACTATCCTATGTATTGAGTCATGCTTCCATCTACAGCTCTTATCTTTGCATATTCTTAATTTTGCATATACCACTGCTATTATTAATCGATTAATAGATCATTCAACTAAGATTCTAATGACCCTCACTCAATTATTGCAATCCAAGCTGCAACCTCATTCTACTATTCAAATACATCACTTTGATCAACATCATGCCTTCCAATGTTCTCTAATATACCTACAACATTTGCTATATCAACACTCTCACAATTCTATTCTAATGTTCTCTAGTATACCTACAACATTTGCTATATCAACACTCTCACAATTCTATTCTAATGCTCTCTAGTATACCTACAACATTTGCTATATCAACACTCTCACAATTCTATTCTAATGTTCTCTAGTATACCTACAACATTTGCTATATCAACACTCTCACAATTCTATTCTAATGTTCTCTAGTATACCTACAACATTTGCTATATCAACACTCTCACAATTCTATTCTAATGTTCTCTAGTATACCTACAACATTTGCTATATCAACACTCTCACAATTCTATTCTAATGTTCTCTAGTATACCTACAACATTTGCTATATCAACACTCTCACAATTCTATTCTAATGTTCTCTAGTATACCTACAACATTTGCTATATCAACACTCTCACAATTCTATTCTAATGTTCTCTAGTATACCTACAACATTTGCTATATCAACACTCTCACAATTCTATTCTATTCTTGCTCCTTGCTCACCTTGATTTTTATTGCCTCTATTGCTATGCTTTTCTTTAGATTAGCAACTACCAACATACAACTCCTCAATTTCATTCTTGCCTCTACAAATACCCCACACATTATTTTCAATTCTCTTTACATCTTCAACCACCAAGTCCTCCCTCTACCACAACCACAATCCGTCTCTACATCTATATCTTATATGCCATCTCTACCTCAATTTTTTCATTGCTACTACTATTTGTTTTTTGCTATAATCCCATCCTGCTCATTAATTTCCACCTTTCTAACATTCAATTTTTCCTTCCTCCCATTTCATTCCACTCACATTTACATTTGCATTCACACTTACATTCAAGTTCCTTAAGACTCTACTCACATTGTTTTAGTATGGACCATATTACCATCAATGCATTTTTCTTTGTTTGTTTCTTTGTCTTTTCAACTTCTCTGCTATTGTGATGTAACATAGCTAATAAATGAAAGAAAGAAAAAAATATTATATTATAAATTATCTTATTTTAAAATATTATAAAAAATTATTTTTAAAATATAGATAATAGTCGAAAAGAAAGTAAAACTAAAAAGTGCTAATGCTGCTTTTTACAAAATGGACTTCTATTTACTTTGTAGGACCATAAATAAGGTAAAACAAAGTAGATTGGAAAATTAAATGATATAAGCATCTATAAGAGGGAATTAAGAGTAGATTTTAGTAAAATTTACCTCAAGAAGCCAAGAATTGATACGTGAAGAGGATTAGTTGTCAACTTAGGTTGAAATCAAATCCTAATGACATTAGGATTTGACCTAAGATTTTATTAAGGTTCCATTAGAATTTGATTTAAGATTTTCTTAAGATTTAATTATAATTTTAATTAGAGTTATATTAAAATTTATATTTTTAATATTTCTTTAGGATACTTTATTATTTTTTTTTAAAGTTTCTATTTCTAGTATTTCTTTAAGATTTCTTGTTATTTTTCTTTGAAATTAAATTATGACTTCTTTATATTTCTTATGTGATTTCTTTTAAATTTATTTTGATAGGTTAAAGTTTGATTGGATTTATTGAGGATTACTTGAAGTTTATTTAAGGCTCTATTAGACTTAGTAGAATTGTTGTTATATTTTTACTTACCTTCTATAGCTAGGTGCCTAGTGTATTTTTATGCAAGAACACATGTAATACAACACTGCTAAAAGTCATGCTTGCCATTATAATGTGAGTACTCGTTACATAGGATTGTGCTTTTAGCTTGCATTGTTCTTAATATCATGCATTTGTATACAATATTTTGATATGATCAACATTAATTTAGTTTTGTTTAAGGCCATGTGAACTCAACTTTTGCTTTACTTTTGATGAAAACTTTGGATGAAAAAAATGATAGATGTAACCAATTAAAGATGGTTTTTGTCTTGTCTTGTTCATCCCATTGATTTATCCCTTGAGTTGTTTCATATAATAGATGTATATATAATTCAATTCTATTTTTATTAATTTATTTTAAATGGAACACTAATTACTATTTTTTTTTTGCTCTTGAGGAAGTTAGAGTTAAGTTCCATTGTTGGCTTTCACATTTGGAAGGAATATCAAACACAATTCTACAGTTTAATATATAAACTTGGTCTACTTTTGAGTTTTTATGAATTCTTCTGTCAGTGTTGAAGGACTCTGATTGATCGTTTAATTAGTTGCAGCACTTGTCAAGGGATCCAAGTTCAGTATCTAATATATTTACTTTAAATTATTGATATGCATCTTTTTTACATAATATCATTTACATTGTATTTCTATATCTTGAAATATGTGCATGTTATTAAATTCAATACTTCTCAGGTATAGATTATTAATTCTAAAATAAATCGTAATTTCTAAAATATATTTTAAATAATAAATACAAACACAGTTACATAGTTTAATTCATATTTTTCTGAAAAGGATATTTTATCTTGTCAATAGAGAATTACTCTCATTTTATTTTAGATAAGTATAGAAAATTATAATGATAACAATATCATTAACAAAAAAAAAAAAAAAAAAAAAATCAGATTTTACGTTTGTTCAAACAAGGTGCTATTATCCTTTTGGTTTTCTTTAAAAATGATGTAATGTGCAGTCTACATATATGACTACAAATCACCAAACAAAACTGGTGCTCACCCATGGCTTTAAAATTTAAAATAAATACAAATCTCCATTTGAATTAGTTTCCACCCAATTTCTTCTTTCTCAAGGTTGTGAAGACAGCGTACCCCCTTTTCAAGATCATGCAAGGATTTTATATTCTTACACACACAACCAAAAAAGATATGCACTAAGCAGACGCGGCAACCCACGGCACCCACAGTACTGAAAAAAAAATAATAATAATATAATTTTTAAAAATAACTATAAATTAATGTTCGGAAAAACAGAGGCATGAACACATGATTTGGAAAAACTGAGGAATTTGTCTGATATTGGATTCCAGAGGGGAAAAAATTAAAAAAATCCAAGTGGTTTCAGACAAATCTCCTCCAGTAATGGTATTAAAAAATAATATAGAAAAGATGCAGAAATTGTGGAAAACATGTTGTAAAGCCAAAATCATTACACTCATCTGTGTAAATATACATCTATATATATATATATATATATCAATCAATCAATAAAAAAGATTAAATATTGACTGATACACATAGGATGCCTTTTCACAACTTCGAGCATCTTGGTCCTAATAGTTCTATTACATCAACAAGGTTTGCAAGACCATGTTGGTTTCTAAATTTAGACAATAAGTACGAAGCAATGTTTGAATGGGGCTTGGTCAAGAAATGGCCATCTAAATATGTAAGTAATTAACTAGCCAAGGAGAACAAAAAGAAAAAAAAAATTGGTGGAGCAATGTTGGTGAGGAGATAAAATCCTATTCTACCCCAAGATCCGCACCATAACTCCAATTCAATTGCTATCCTTTTGTGTTTCTTATGGATTTCCTACACATTCTCATTGTCTTTTTCTCCATCATCAAAATATCCATTTTCTTTTCAATAGTTTCTAGAATCCTTGCTAAACTTTCTATCATTAATCCAAATTATTATTATTATTATTTTATCAATATGCATAATAAAAAAGACACAATTGTAATAAAATCATATTATTTTTCTCATTAAAGAAATAGTGGAGCTTGCATTGCACCTCACACTAATGGCAAGCAATCCAACCTTTGTGGCACTAAAAGCCCAAAGCCAAAATCAATCAAAAGCAATAATGTAAACAGATTCACCCTTTTATGTTAATAGAATAGACATGGGGTTTATTTTTAAGGTTGTTCTATGAGTTGGGCCGAAATCATCATCATTATTATTAATCCACTAACAGTGAAAAAATTAAAAAACCATATACCAAAAAATAAAATAAAAAAACAAATTCCTAATTGTTTTGCCATCGTGTAATAATCAAACTCCCCACTAAACCGTCGAGGAGGGTAGGAAAAACGATGTAGTCGGTAGTGATGAAGGTAGGTAAGTAGCACCGGCGCGGTAGGTATGTAAGTTTGCGATCCGCACAGACAGCAGTGGGGTCGCAACACGGGGGGCGGGCAAAGGGCGAAGATGAGCAAACCTAGCAGAGCTGAGATCGCAGGGAAGGAATGGAAAGGAAGGGAAGGGAAGCTCCATTCGCATTCGCAAGCACTGGGCGCGGAGATCTTCGCTTCCGATCCATATCCGGCGTTTCTTCTCCGTCAGGTGGGTTCCACAGCGATACCCACCTCCATATCTTGCCGCAATCGGAGCCATATTCCGGAGCCAGGCTCGCAACACAGAGTGCGCCATACCATACAGAAGCAGAAGAAGAAGCAGAAGACATTGGGATCCGTTTCATGGTACTGAATGCGCCGCTGACGGTGTCGTCCTGTGAAGCTTTGACGGTGGACGGGATTTGAGAGGTCGAAGAGAACCAGCCGAACGAGACTCTGGGTGTTGAAGTTGTGTGTGTGTGTTTCTGGGTTCCCCTTTTTTTTGTTTTGTTTTGTTTTTTTCTTTCTTTCTTTCTTTCTTTCTTTCTTTCTTCTTCTTCTTCTGAGAGGGGAAGGGGTAAGGAGGCTTGCGATGTTTTGAATATTTGGGGGCTTAGGGGGGGAAGAGATGGACTTGGGATATGGTGTCGGCATGTCTATTGGGGGTTGGTTCTGGGTGGTGTGACTTTGGGGGTGGATGTGACGGAATGCCCTATGGTGGTTGTGCGTTGGGGCACGGCGACATTGATACGGAAGGTGGATAGTGATGTTTGGGATGCAATGTCAGGGCGGAGAAGCGATGGTTGCTCCGGGTGGGTGGCGTGTGCAGATTGCGCCTGAGTTGGTGGTGTAGGGGAGCAAAAGAGGAAAAAGAAGATTATTGACGGTTATCGGAGGGTGTAGATGTTTCTGTAACCTACTTTCCGGGCCTTCTGGTACTTAGGGGTGTGTATCATATGTATGCCGTGGAGACGCGAAGTATTCTCGGCGAGACCGGGGGGAGAGCAAGGGAAAGGGGAAGGAATCGTCGACAGCTCAGTTTGACCACTGGAGTGGACCCTTAGACAGGCGGAAGGGGAAGAAGAGGTGCAAGCTAGAACTGGCGGTCATCATGCGAGCGCTTGTGTTACTCAAACCTTCTTATGTAACCCGGGCGAGGAAGAACGGACTGGTAGTCGAGGTGCGGACGACTCAGTTTTTGTATTAGTATGATCAAGCCATCCAAGAAAGATTTCAAATTCTCGAAATTGGTTTTTGTCTTCTCTTTGCCTGTGAAGTCTTCAAGGAGTTTGGCGGGTGTAGAGAATGGTGTTATCGTCGATTTCAAGACGCATGTGGTGCACGAGATATTTTTGGGGGAGAGGAGACAGTGATTTTTCATTAGTCTGAGGTTATGATTGTAAGAGTGTCTGACCACTAGGAGGTCTGGTTACTAGGGTTAAGCACGGAGCTGGAGGGTCTCACTAGGGCTGGACTGACTGGAGACAGCGGATCTGGAAAGCAAGGGTAACCGGAAACAGATGTGGTCAAGGCAACATATTACGTTGCAAAGATAGGGATTTTCTGGAGTTCATATTGTTGCGAGGTGTAGGAGTGAGGGATTAGGAGAAAATGGCACAGCTTTCGGGTTTGGAGCTGGCAGCTTATGACAAGAGCCCTGTGCATGCCGCTGTCGCACGGCGAGACCACATCACTCTGCAGCGAATTCTGTCCAAGCTGCCACGCCCTGTGAAGGCGGGAGAGGTGACAACGGAAGCAGAGTCTATCGCAGCGGAGGAGCGAGCGGACGAGATTTCGAAGGTTATAGATAGGCGTGATGTGCCTGGGCGTGAGACGCCCTTGCATTTAGCTGTGAGGCTCGGAGACGCAGATGCCGTAGAGATGTTGATGAGTGCTGGCGCAGACTGGAGTTTGCAAAATGAGCAAGGTTGGAGTGCATTGCAGGAGGCTGTGTGCGCAAGGGAGGAGGGAATTGCCATCATCATCACGCGGCACTATCAACCCATGGCGTGGGCGAAGTGGTGCCGTCGGTTGCCGCGCCTTTCAGCTACCATGCATCGGATGCGGGACTTTTACATGGAGATTTCTTTTCATTTCGAGAGCTCTGTTATACCATTCATAGGTCGCATTGCACCGTCTGATACTTACCGGATATGGAAACGGGGCTCTAATCTTAGGGCAGATATGACTCTCGCAGGCTTCGATGGATTCCGAATCCACAGATCCGATCAGAGCTTTGTGTTTTTGGGTGATGGAAGCGAAGATGGGAAACTTGCACCTGGTACTCTTTGTGTTTTGACTCACAAGGATAAGGAAGTTGCAAATGCATTGGAGGGTGCTGGGGTACAACCGTCAGAGAATGAGATTGCACAAGAAGTCGCTGCCATGTCAAGGACTAACATGTACAGGCCAGGTAATATCTATTCCACGCTGGTGTCTTGTTGCTTTGGAGTCAAATTTAGCCTGAGTCATTCAGCGTGAAGAAGCGAGTACGTGAACAAGAAACTTTTACTTCCTCGCCTCGAGCTGATTGGTCATTTTGTTCTTTCATATGACGATTTTATTTTGTGAACTATTTGATCCGGCTTTCAGCTCATTAATTATTTATCATCTGATGTGAACACATCAATGCAGGCATTGATGTCACCGAGGCAGAGCTGGTCGCTCAAACGTCGTGGAGGCGACAAGAAAAGACAGAAATGGTGGGAGCATGGAAGGCAAAAGTTCATGACATGCACCATGTTCAGGTAAATCCGAGCGCATCAGAATGATCTGTTTTGTGTCTTCATTCTGGTCAAACCCACTCAACGAGCTCTTTGGCAAGGGTTGCGTATATCCTTATTTTGGGATAGAATGTGTCTATCTGCATCCAGAAAGTTCTGTGTCGCTTTACTTTCTGAATCCTAGGATTTCTATCGTGCTCTATATTTACTTTGACATTGAATTGACGTTACTCAAGGACCTAGCGCTATATGCGTCTTGTTTCTTGTAATTGGTTCGGTTTCATTCATATTCGTGGACAATGGAAAATCTATGTACAGGTGAGCGTTAGGTCTAGAAGAGTTCCTGGTGCGATGACGGATGAGGAGCTATTTGCACTCGATAGTGACAGGGTAGATACAGAGGCAGACGAAGATTATAGCAATTTACTTACAACTGCAGAGAAAGAGCAGCTGGAAAATGTTCTGAAGGCGGAGCATTTAGATGAGAACCGCACCGGTGGTGCAGAAAGGCTAGACCATGAGTTGCAGAATGGGAATTTTGTTTACCTGAACGAAGATTCAGATGACGAATCCGACTCACATCTTAGGCAATCACCCCATGAGAACGGGAATGGTGAATTGCTTGGATCTTCCAAAGATGAAAAAAGGAGTCGGTGGTATGCTTGGGGAAAGAAGAGTGTGAAAGCTTCTAAGAAGCTGGATTCGCTTAGTGACAAAGGTTCTGATTCAGGTCATTCAAGTGCCGAGGCCCCAAGGAAATCTAAACAAGGTCCTGGTTTACCCACACCTGACTCCCAACTAAAGCTATTAAAGCAAAGGAAATCCGTGGATGGGCGCAGGTCTGTAGATAGTCAGTTAGCTGCCTATGAGAACCAAAATCGGCCGTCTGTAGATCGGCGACCGTCGAATGTTGATGACCTGCTGTCAGCAAAAGGAAAGGGGAAAGAATTGAAAAGTGGCAGACATAGTACCAGTAGTAAGGAGTTGATCAAGAGCAAGTCCCGTCGTGGTACTCCCAAGCCTGAGGCTACATCGGAGAGTGAGTACAAAAAGGGGCTGAGACCAATTTTGTGGCTGACACCTGACTACCCTTTGAAGACCGAGGAGTTGTTACCGCTCCTGGACATTCTAGCAAACAAGGTCAAGGCAGTTCGGCGATTGCGTGAATTGCTTACTACAAAGTTGCCTCCAGGAACCTTCCCTGTTAAGGTTTGTCAATGCATTTGGTTTATGTCTAAGATCAATTATTCTTTTCAATGCCAGTATTTTGTTTCTTGTCCTGACAAATTCTAATGCCTGAAAGCTGATTACAAATCCCATCCATTTATGGACATATATAGTTTGAAGGACATTCTCTAGCTGATCTGCATGCTTCTACAGGTGGCTATTCCCGTGGTGCCGACAATCAGAGTGGTTATCACCTTCACCAAATTCGAGGAACTGAAACCGGCGGAAGAATTTTCAACCCCTTTATCCAGCCCCAGGCACTTCAGTGATGCCAAGTCAGAGGCAGACGCAGCGCCAGCCCCGTCTCAGGGCTCCTGGTTGTACTGGATGAGAGGCGCTCCAGGTTCAGGCAAGAGTGCTACAGTGAGCAGCTTGGAGGAGCAGCTTGAGGAAGAGGCTGATCCATTCATGATTCCTCCCAACTATCGATGGATTGACATGGAAGAGAAGAAACGCCGCTTACGCGAAAAGAAGGGCCGAAGCAAGAAGGTTAAGAAGCCTCCCCGACCTCCATCCTCACAGGATGTGGACACTAACAATTAGTCTCTGGCATTGAGTTTGTGAGAAGCATTGTTTGTAGATTGATATAAGTTAGGTGTTTAACTGAGGCTAATCTAAGGTTGTGACGCTTGGAGGGGCTTGGAGGAGCATGAGGCAATTTGCTATTGTTTTTGACAAGTCATTTTCACTGCCAATCATTTGTTGGAGGCAACAGGTGGCTGGGTATTCTTTCGCAGGTATCTTTTTTGCCTATCTGTTTCCAGAGCCTTGAGATTTCACTTTCATTTTAGTGCTTAAGGCTTTGGCCCAACCTTCCGCCGCATTTGAACTTCCTTCAATTTCCTACAGGACTTGCTCTGCTCTGGCAAGCAAGTTGCATTTATTTGGAATCCTTTGTCACAAATTTTAGCTGTATGAAGATAAATGTTACTAATATTCTTATTACTATCTCTTCCTAGCTGACACCATGACTGAGGTGTCAAGTTCGTTACTGTTAGTTTCAATTTCTTATCAACTCCATTGTTGCAATTGAGCAGAACCGACTTTTTAATACGTGTGCAGAAACCCACAAGGCGTTGAATATGCTTGTGACATTTATCCAATCCATTTATATATATTTTAGAAACTTCAAAGTGGTATGATACAGTTAATTTAAGATCAAATCGAAAGTGGCAATTTAAATTTGGAGTTTTAAACGTGCCAATCATACCGTTTACTGGAATGGGCTGTCTCCCAGGACCAACAGAATGAAAATCTGGCACGGATTTGTTTGACACTGAGAAGCCACAATAAGTTGGAGATGTGCAGTATACTGAGATGAAGCCAAGTACAGGTCATCATAGCTGACCATCTTCAGGCACTGCATTTATATTTCATTTTAAGCGTTTGGCACTGAAGAAGAGCTTTTCAGAGCTTCTAATGGGCTTCAAGACGGAGCTGTTTATGTCGCACAGACATCCCCACCAATGATGTGCTTTCTGGACTGAAATTTGAGTCCTTGACCCGGTGTCCAGCGGAGCTCAACTAAGTAGTAACGGCCCTAATCCCGTTTTTTAAAAATTCGTTACTAACTTGGTTGGCAAACTCAGCGAGATTCAGTTTAGATCCTTTACATCTTAAGAGAGTATTTTGAAGGATTTACTTCAAAGAGCATGCAAGAAGAGAAACAGTCGAAAATCAAAGTCGAAATTGCATCTAAAACCGAGTAATCTTTTTTTTGAACAGAGGTTTCACGCGCCAGGTAGGGGTCGGACCTACGACTTTCTGCTTAGGAAACAGACGCTCTATCCACTGAGCTACAGGCGCTCAAGACTACGTCGAAATTGATTATTTCTTTTAATCTGATACTTCTAAAGTTCTGTTGTGATTATTAACATGTCTATTGGTATAAATGAGTGTGATAATGTTGCTAATGCGGTGATGAGCAGGCAAACAATTGGTATACCACAACTTGATTGTGGACAGATGGTTCACACAGTTTTTCTATCTCCAGTTTTTCATATAGATTTGACCATGCTTTTTCCTGCATCCTCAACCCAATCAGATGGATTAGGGTTTTTTCAAGACCTTGATGCTGTATGAGATATACATGGTTACCTCCAAAATGTCAGACAATCTAGAATCACACAAGTGTCATGGACCTAGCAGTACTTGTTTAATCCACCCATCAAATTATGGGCACCAAAAACTGGATGATCAATAATCAAATAATTTGTTTTCTAACAAGTTCCTCACATCTGAGACAACTGACCCTCTAACTCTCACATCCACTCCCACATGCTTCAATTTTTGCCACAAAGCCATGCCACACCAGGAGATAGCAAAAGGAGGTGTGAACCTAAACTAATCACAGATCACATATGTCATTGACTAGTAGTATTGCTTCTCACTCTCCTCCTCCTTCAGGTTTCCCTTCTGAACACAGTACCCATAAGCACAAGTATTTTAATAATCCATGCTTAATAGCCACTTTGTTTATTCAGGAAGAATGATCAAAATAATCCTCCTGCATATATTATTGATGATAGGTAATGTGACAGGTTTGGGGAAACATGAAATGAGGGTGTCACAAAAATTGGGTGTAGCAACCATTTTCTCTGCTATATCACTTACTGCAGGTTAGAATGTAAAACCATTTTGTACATGGTAAGCTTTGAAGTTGGCAACTATGCAACTGATAATAGTAGACATTGTCATATCTAGAGGACTCTTTATTACAGTGAGGATTCCCTCTGTCTTGGGGGCTGCTTAAGGATCATTCTCTCCCTGCCACCAACAGGAAACAATCATCAACATTTTCTATCACAATGCATCCATGTGATTAGGACATAGATACCTGGTGGGCACATGAACTTGCAGAAAACCACTAAAAAGGAAGAGTAAGGCCATGACCCACAAAAAGTTGCTTGGCTCTAACAGTTTACTAAAGATGTCATGCAATATTTGGACTTAAAAGCTTGGGCATACATTCTTCAACTTGTTCACCTCAGCACATGTTTCTTGAACCACCAATGAAATGTCTAAGGTTGTTATCTACATTTACACATGAACAACAGTATCATAATTACAAAAGAATAATACTAATAAGAGTACTACTAATAATAGAAGCTACAATCCAAAAGCTTTAAGAATACAATACATTGAAGATCATCTTTAGTACAAAACCAAAAGCCAGAAGAATATATTATATCTTTGGCCACTTTCCATGGGGCTCCAATAACGACGTTGTCTACATAGCAGCATGTCAACACATTTAGACTACATTTGTGCACATACATGATTGGATGATGTGGGCAATGATGAGAATTGCTTGCAAATAAACACAGTCCTTGAATCAATTCACAACTACCTCAAAAAATTCCATCACCCTTTTGAACACAATCTTATTGCTTTATTCAATATATACCAAAACAAGGTAGACTATGTCATGCTTTCAATAACACAAACAAAAATATTGCAATGAAGACTTTGCCATTCATTTAGCAATTTCATTGAAAGTTAAACAAAATATTGGCGTCTAAATATTTAATCACTATGGATACCAACTAGCAAATAGTCACTCATTGCTCATACAACCTTCATAGTCTGCATCAAAATTAAATGAATATGTTTAATCATTAGGATTAATATTTAGCAATTAATCCATTTAAATTTCTGAGGTATATATTTATAATTTTTTTATAATATTTCAAAAAATATCTCGCATATATTGTTCCATCTCTAAAACAACCCTTTATACAAATGTTGAGATAAAATCAACATTAAATCTTATTGAAGTATTATACAACTATTAGAAATAAGTGTAGCATATATGACACAAGGTAATCTTTCTTTTGCAATATGTAAGAAAGCTCTTAAACCTATAAATATGAATTTGATTGTACTAGACTTCTGATTTCTATATAAACATGTTTAGTTTTTTCACTAAGGATGTGCTATGTCTCTTAACAAATTCTTTATTTAAGAAACATGATGAAGCTTCTAAATCTAATAAAACAAATGCTTTGTGATGTTTAGGTTCTAAACTAATATCTATTATAAAATAAGGAGAAGATTTTGAGAAGAGAATATGACCGTCACCAAGTATGGTACAAGGTTATAAGTTCATGATTTCTATTGTAGTTGGATAAACTTATTTTTTGATATATTGTTTTCTTTGACAACCATACTCTTCATTTTGTAGTTGCGTCACTTCTTTGAATAATGTTGAGTAGTATGTTTAAGTTCTCTACAATATAAGAATAATCTTTCTTGTTGACGACAAGTTTTTTCTTGCTCAATGAGAGATTTAAAATGTATCACATTAATTTGTATAACTTCCACTTTCAAATGTAGGTGTTAAAAAGACATTGATATTGTTATTGAATTACAAAAATATTGAGGTCTATTTGTGCAACTTTCAGATTAAAATTCAAAAAGCTAATTTTCATACTTCACTATAAAGTCAATTGCTTGACTGAATGTTTAAGGATTAGATAAGTTGAGCATCAATTTCTTTACCTCATATTATAATCTGTTGTTGTATGACATGATTTATTTCTATTATAGAATATAAATAAATATAGTAATATAAAAGAATATTCTAATAATAAAAATATTTTATATTTAAAAAGATTTAAATAAAAGGCTTTTTAAAGCTTTTAGAAATGCCCTATCATCCTTAGCTATACCAAATCATAACTAACTATTTGCTAATAAGTTAGATTTCTCATAAATTCAAAGAAAATCCATAATTTCTTTACAAAAATCCATCTTTGTTCCATAATTTTTCTATAGCTCTATATCTCCATCTTTAACATGTATATAAAATCTTGACTCCAAAAAATCCTTTTATTTTGCATAAAATTTCTAAATTATAGAAAAAATTCTTTCAAAGTATTTTTTTTTACAAAGGATTTTTTTTCTCTAAATTTTAGAATATCATATCTCTTGATCCAATTGTTCAAGTTACTTCAAATTTTTAGATAATATAGAATTTATTTTTATGCTTTATTATAAAAAAATAAACTATAAATCTATGACAGATTGATTGGCATCTAAGAAAATCCTAGTAGGTACTCCAAATCCTAATTTATAAGCACCCAAATACTATTTTCTTTATATCTCAAAAATCCAAAATTTAAATACTAAAAAATTTATTTATAAAGTTTAGTAACATGATAATACACATTTTTAAAAATTTTGAGCCAAAATCTTATCAAATTGCTCAAGATATAGCTCAAAATACAACCACTAATAAATCGAGTAACTTATTGCCTTTAGATTGCAAGTGTTGACTTCAACTTCTTATATCTCCTTAATTTCAACTTAGAATTCACCAACCTATATATAAAAAATATAGCTATAAAAAGTATTCTCTCCAATCCCAATTGTTGATTCTTCATTGCTTTTTATATGCGTGTGTTACATTCAATAGAGTGATAATAGGTACAAAATCAACACCTTAATTTTAAGTACCTATATCTCTTTCATAAAAACTCCAAACTATTCAAAATTTGTAACAAAACCATAGCCAAAAATCTAATTTTTTTGATCTTAGTCTCTTAAGTTCAAATGGCCTCAAAAAAGTAATCCTAATTCCTAATAAGGCTTCAAACAGCCTCTTTGAAGCCCATTGGGCATGAATTTTGGCCAATAGGAATGGAGATTTTTATCATCTATTTCCATTCATCCTTATGGTTGGCCTAACTACTCTTTTTTATACAAAAAACATTCTTTAATCTTTTTTCTAATAATTTTTTCATAGTATGTGCCTTAAATACCAAATAAAAGAAATAAAAGAAGATTTGAAAAGTCATTAATATTTGATAGAGGTTGCTTTCACTATATTTTTATAATAAATTGTATATTAAATATATATGTACATTATTTTCACATGGTAGCTAAATCATAACATGACACCATAAAAAAACTAATTAATAAGTATAGCATTATCTCATTTGATATCAGTTGTGAGTTATGAAAACTATGAAGCATATAATATTATTAATCAATTATCTTGTTGCAAAATATAGATTTTATTGGTTGTAAGACCAATTGCATCATGTTTTTTATACATGGATCAAACTGAGCTAAAAAAACTACTAAATTATCTTATATTAGATCTTATTATTTAAAAAAAGATAAAAACTATGATAATATAAAACTTTAAAATAGTATTTAAATAAACTTGATTTGTGATTATGGAATTGGATAGCTTTGAGATTGAAGTTTAATCCCAAATTTTACTTGATTGATGAATCCTCAAAACTTTGATCTAATGCAACCAAACTTTTTGGACAAGATAATTCTTCGCTTTTTAATGATTGAATACTTTTCCATTATAAAAAAAGTAACATGATTTAGTGCAATTATTGAAGCAACTCCAATCATCTCTATATCTTCACTTCATGCCAATCTTGTTGTTTCGTATTGTAATAAATTGGATTGATGCATTGCAAGTATTAACTCCTTCAATTGCTCTTACATTTGTGCCATTGCAGTTTTCATTTCAATATATTGTGCTATGAAAATACTATAATACAAAAAAAAAAAAAAAAAAATTAATATTATTGAAGACAAGAAAAAAAGAAGACTTGAGAATAAAAAAAATGCTAAAAATAATATCAATTTAGAAGAAGATAATTTATAACTTCTAATATACTTATATATATATATATATATATATATATATATATATATATATATATATATATATATATATATATAATACTCTTAACTAAAAAAAATAAAGCTCTAATATTTTAAGTATAGTCTTATGAGCTAAAATAAATTCTCACTAATTGGAAGTCTATCTTAATTTATAAAAATTTTATTACCTATTAATTCTATTATTTTATAATTATTATTTAATTAATATCTAATAAATCTTAAA